GGGTAGATGCGACTTTCGCATCTCACATTCCCATTTATAGTGGGATTTTTGATGGGGCCAATAGGATATTTGTAATTATAATCGACGATCTTGCTATGAAATGACTGTAATCTTTAATCAAGATCGATAGATTGTCACGAATCCTACGTATCCCTTCGAAAAGCAAGTAAAATTACAAGCCAGGTAGTATAATATGAACTGGTTTGGGTTGCTGGCAATCTATATGCCTATCTAATATATCTTCCAGGCCTTTCACGGGGACTTGCTCCACTTGACACTTAGTATGAACGCCAAAATGGAAATAATGTATGCCGAAAGTGATTTTTCGTGTTATTCTGTAGAACATCGATTTCTATACTGTTGAATCCAGCCTAGTTGCATAGTATGTTGTTAGCTGGTAAAAATAAGCCTCAAGATGGTAATGTTAACATTTTTGCCATATTCTCTCAGGTAAAAAGACAAACAAAGTGTTCATATATTCAACTGTACAAAAGAATAGTCTGAGAAAAGAAGTTACACAAATAGAGGTCTAATGACATCCTGAAAAGCAACATAAGTTGGAATCTTGATGAAAATGTGAAATTAGCAAACATTGTAGTAATGTACATTTTTTTACAAAATCTGTCAGCAAAACTCGACTATCTTATGATGTCCATAATAAATGAAGGGAATATTTGGCAAAGCAAATAATTGTGCTAAGAAATATCTGGCATGACTATTCTGTATCAGGATTGAAATTGGTACAGAATAGAATGACATCACAGTTGTTGTGCACAAAGAGCATTGTGGTTCTGAAAATCGGTATTTGTTTTATAAATTCAGAAAACATATTGAATCGAAGGGTTATATACAGTTAAAAATTAAATCGGACAGAAAAGCGATCGTCGGAATGGGGACAGGCAATGAGAAAGCAGCACTCTTCACGTTTAACTCTTCGTGCTGAACCGTCAACAGGCCCGGAGAGATCGATTAAGATTATAGAGAAGGTACAGATTTAACTGTGACTAGGGCGTCCTGATGAAAATAGAAAGTGTTGAGAAGAAAGTCTAATCAGCATTTGATAAATTGCCTTAAGAGCGATTGGGAGTTATAGGCACGCATTGATGGGCTCATTTATTGTTTCCAGAAAGATGGACAATGCAAAAGTGGGAAGAGAAAAAGGAAGTGACGAAGAATGTCAGTAGAATAAAATCTGCCCACTGGTGTCAACCTGTTTCCTGGGGATGCCGGTTGGTTCGGTTGGCTGATGCCATCAGCAAAGTACATCTGATGCTAAAACCAACAGCGTCAATGCAATCCATAATGTGGGCAGAAGTGGGGATTTGTGTCTGTTGATGCTCCCGTTGAAAAGGACTCCTCTTCTATCCGGCCTTCTGCGCTCTTTGTCAGCCTCCCCACGACGGCTGCTGGCTTGCCCAGCTGCAGTAGCCTCATTCAGCCGGCCAGCTGGTTGTGGAGGCAACCGAGAATCTGTATCCAGCCGCGACCAGGCGGCTGAATCTTGTGCCAACCTCGAGGTTGCTTGGTGAGGGCCATTTGAAGACGAATGCCAGCGACTGTAGCTGTCGGCCTTAGCGACGAGACCTGCGGAGTCCAGCTCGCCCAGCAACCCGGATGCCGGAGACAAATTGCCCGTCTGAAAGAAGAAGTTACGAAGCTCAGCTCCTGACTGCTCGAGGGCATGGCCGGTTGGTGTTCCAGCCGCGGCCTGAGCAAAGGGTCGGGGCGAAGAGGTCCAAGTGAGGAGCTGTGCTCCAGCCAGCCCCGAAAGCAAGGCGTCTCGGCGTACACTGCCTAGTTGGCGCTCGATGAGAAAGTAGGCCAGATGAGCTGCGACAGCACAACTCTGTCCTTCTCCAGCTGCCCCGGATGACTGGCAGTTATTTGAGTAAAATGTATAAAAGTAATAATCAACCACTTCCTCAAGGTCAATATTTTACAGATCAGCCCTCAGCCTAGCTGTAATGATCCTTTTGTACCAAAAACTGCATCAAGTTGGAGATGACGGAGCCTGAATACCTGAGGATCTAGTCCGAGGGAAGTATTACAATTCACGTCTAGAGACGGTTATTTTTGAAGATTTATCGGATTTTCCCGACATTTATGGGACGAGATATACGTTTTGACTGTCTTTTTTTAAATTCCATTCTTTTTTCTTTAGTGTAGTAAAAGCATATATTCGTAAATGGAATTAACGGTTCCCCAAAAATAGCATTAAATGGAAAAGAGTGCTAATTGCTGGGCTTCTTGTATCGTATCTTTTTAATTTTGAGTAGGTTTTCGAGACACTTTGGGAAAGCAAGGCTACACGAAATTCAGTGAAAACGTAAGGTTTACTCATGTCATTATGGAAAAATTCAACATCTTAAACGAAATAGAGTTAACATATCTCACAACTTTTACATCGTGCTTCCATAAATTTTGCATCGGCTTAGTGACTCATTGGCACCAGTGGCCATGTAGTGAATGAGAGTGGTAACTTCGCGATGATACTCACGACCTAAATGTGATCGAAACTGCAGTCTTTTTTGGATGAAGCAACTTGTGGGAGGCAAGATTAAATTAAATTAATCGGCATTGTGAAGCTGGCTCATCTCATTGTGGGACAACTTAACTAGCAGTCGTTAAATCACCTCAGGCAATCAAGGGTAACTAGGCCCTTATTAAAGAATTACTTATATAAAAAAGAGTAATGAAAGAAAACAAAGAAAAGAAGCAAGAGATAAGTCTGCAAATTAGACAGCTTTTTGTGGAAGAGTAAGTTGATCTAAGGTACAGACGCAAAAAAGTTGAACTGAAAAAAGTGATGATAACAAAAAACGTCAATGATCCAAGCCGAAACAAACTCATATTACACCGTTCCTGATACGAATCAAGTCAGAGGCCCGCCCTTCTAGACCCATGCACCCTGATGACCACATAACCTATTGAGGGAATAAAGAGACATCGTCCACGTTGGCCTATAATAAAGCAACTTGAGACCTCAGAGTCTGATGGCTAATTTTAATGCTATGCTTCATGATCATACTATTGATATCTTCATTTTACCGAAGAATATGTTAATGAGCACAGATAGAATGCTTCAGGCCTTAGGTACAGCTAAGTGTTATTTTCTAGAGAGGCTTAGTTATTGTGCCCAACCCTTTGCAGGTTGATTGGAGCTCCTCGTAAGGGAAATCCTCTTCTCGTTACATTCAGTTCAACAATGAAGCGATAATTTATTTTTGGATATATGATGAACACTACAACTTCAATGGTCCCGCATTATCAATAATGGATAGAGATCAAGTGTGAGTCGCTTGGTTGATAGTGAGAAAATTGCTAGAATAGGCACATTTTTCAATAAGATTATCGGTGAAAATCATTAAAGAGGCCAAATCGAATATATAAACAAGAAAATAAATTGTGTGAGCTTGCATATAATACAGGAACATAGGTGCAGTGTTGAATAACCTGGTATAAACTCAAAAGCTGCTAAACTAAATGTTCAGCTAGTCGATGCAAAAGGCTGCGAGATCCTTTTATGACCGCCCCAATGGCCACGACCCCGATGCATCTTATTTTTGTATAGTCGGTACGAATATCATGGAAGCTAGATGTACTAAGTCATAAAGTCTATATGAGTGATTATCACCTAAATGATATTCGTTAAATAATGATCAAATTAGCACTAATTTAACAAGTTAACCCTTTGCTACTCGTCAACGTAATGCGATGTTCATAATTTTAAAGGCGCAAGCCGCAATATTACAGCTAGAAATTTTATGATATCAAATCGTAAACATAAATATTTTTCAAGTATTTATGAATAGACATCTAGTTTTTATTTAGAATTTGCTAGCAGTTTAGATATTTTTCAATCCAACCCAAGCTATGCTCTAATTTAAAGCTTTTGTCCATCAGAACACTTTACTTTCCTTTAGATTTTCGTCTCGTTTTGCTTGTTTCTCTCTCAATTCGTCTATCTAATTGTTGCGCTTTTTATAGATAGCTACGTTTATGCCGATTAAACAGGGTGACAGCAGTTTGGATAGTATCATGCACGTGCAAGTCTGAAGAGATGGAGATGGAAGCACTGGCAAATGCTGGATATTAACTAAACGAAGACATGTATACTGAATTGAGAAAAGAGAGTAAGAGATATTTTAAGCAATTATGGAAGCCATTGTTATAGCATGAAGCATCCTGAGTTGCATGAGAAAAAGAAAAGTAACAAGAAAAGAAGCCAGTCGGTTGTAAAGTGGATTTCATTCCTGCTATTTTATGCAACTTTGTTGTATTCACAGTGGGCTTCGAAGCAAACACGCAATACTGAGTCTTCTTTAGATAATTTCATATAAACTTTGGTTTGGTATCGGTCTTTTGGAAGTTTACATTTACAGGCGTTTTGCCGTCATTGTGGTTCGCATGGTAAGTGAGTAGGCCCGCTCCTTACACTAAATTACAATTCATAAAAATGACAAATTTTCTGCGGAAGCTATGGCTGCTCTACAAAGATCTAGGCAAAGATACGATTGCCAACCTTAAAGCACTGGCTGGGGACGGAGCATAATTTATGTCTTTCTAAGTATCTATATAAGCACGGTAAGGTTGCGAAACCAATTATATAATTCAGAAATAGATCGAGACCAAATTAAATGTCCCATTATCTTTGTCATCACGTCTATTATTTACTCTAAATCATATCAAAGCGCTGGAAATTATTTACCATTTCTGTGTCATTATTTTATGAAAAGTTTGTTGAGAGTAACCTTTTTATATTTCATATATCAGAGGCTTCTGAAATTATTTTGTAGTCAACATTGGCGTCTTAAAAGCCGGTATATATAGAGTTATGAGATGAATAAGTGCATTTTATTATCTGAGTTTATTAGAAAGAATATTCTTTCCATCATCACTTCTCATCGTTTTATTTTAAAGAATGAATGCCCTTAGCTAGGTGACACCATTCTTCATAAAATCACTGATATCAGCATTCAAAAAATAGTCAAGATCAAGCAGAACAACAAAATATCAGCCAATTGGGATTTATCTTTCATACGTCTAAAGCAAATGTAAGAAATAAGATAGGTAGATTCGCTGCTAAAATCCAATAATAATGGTTTACAATGAATTACTAATGATGACAAAAAATTTACATTCCCTAAACAAGTATTGGCTAATGGTCACGCTGTAAGAAATGCTCTTAACAACTGCTGAAGTTAGAATTCCAACTTCACGTAAGAGTAGAACAGATAGATCAAATTTATGTGATGTAATGCCGAATGACAGGATAACGGCAGGTAACTTGACCTTGAGAAATTCGGAGAAGGGTCAACTTGCAGAATCTGCCGAGCAACCTGTCAGTTAAGACTAGTTGTAAGGGAAATTTCGAGGTGTATAGGGTTGCAAATAAAAGTTGGTACCCCGAAAAACTTTCAGCTTATAAGCCGAATTGGCATTGGTAATTTAATGATATGATTTTGAGCAGTGAAAATATGGTTAAGAGATCATAACAAACGAGTACATACTACGCGTTAAAAATTTAATAAGTGGGACTTATTTTATTTTCCTTTAGACCATTTTGACATGGATACTATCAAGCAGCCCTATCCACTATTGAATTTCACGAAAATTAACTGGTCTCAAATACATTCGGGCATAAAAAATAATTAAAGCCTATATTTCCACAAATATTTAGGATACTCCTTTCTTTATCATTTTCATTCCTAAATGGTGGCCTAAATCATTGTTACCACGCTCAGTAATTAACCTGGTACTGCTTACAAACGTAACGTAATTATTCTTCCTTACTATAAAACCCCCCTAGAAAAGGGTGGAGAGAAAGATAGTTGAGCAGATTATCAAGCCATGGTTTTTAAAAGACCCTAAGCAACATCTTGAGCCCACAAATTTTAGGCTTACTTTGTTATTTTTCGTATGTAAATAGAGTTTTAAGACTATTAATAAATTAGTAATATGAGATGTATTCACCATATTTCGTTTAAGGTGATGAAGGACTGGTAGTAGGATTTTCCCACAATGATATAAGTAGAGCTGACGTTTTGATTGAATTTAACACAGCCTTGCTCTCCCAAAATTTGTTCTCATCCAGGTTGGACTGCAGTTTCGGCCCTAGTTCTAGTCCTTAAACGAAATATGGTTAATACATCTCATATTACTGATTTACTAATAGTCTCGAAACTCTATTTACATACGAAAAATAATGGATTGTTACGACAAAAATACGTTTGCTTCATCGAAAATCCCACCAAAGAAGGTGATATGGGAAAAGGTCCGACCTTCCTTGAAATTGACGTCTGCCCTCTCTCATGCTGTACTGTCACAGTTCGACTCTCGCTGGGGCTGTTGATAGGATCCATGCGAGGTCGAAACTGCAGTTCACTTCCGCCTGGATGAGAATACCTTTTGGGAAAGCAAGGCTGTGTGAATTTCAATGGAGACGTCAGCTCTATTCATATTATTGTGGGAAAATTCTACTACCAGTCCTTCATCACTTTAAATGAAATATGGTGAATACATCTCATATAAATGTGTTATAGTGTAGGGTAAAAAAGGAGCATCTAAGTGTTATTCACTCTCAAGCTCTGATGCAGAAGAAGTGGGGTATATAAGAGACATTTTCAATTGTAAAATTAGGCCAATGTAATGAATTGCGGTTTGTCCGGCTTAGAGAAATGAGTTTTTCCAAATTAAACTACTTGGTACCTGGCTTAAAGAGTATTGAGAGAAGCGCTAACACTAATTCTTGGGTAACTTTGTCTGCTCGAAATTCGAAACTGTATTTTATCAATTAATCTGGTGAAACTGAAACATTATCACAACGTATGCCATATTACCCAGTGTTGTGTAAGAATAATCTCGATCCTCCGTAGCTCCGGCGATGAATCTGGACCTTCTATCCCATGCCTCGGGCGCGTAAGTTGCCTCTTCTGGCGCCACTCTCTTGTTCGAAATGATCGTAAATGTTCACCAGCCGATCGGCGCACTC